CGGGGACGGGGGGTGGGGAGGCCGGTGTAAAGGGCCAGTCATGTGCATGTGAAGGCAAAGGGACAGGCAACAAGAAGATCCCTATGATATCTTGGCATCTCACCACCCCTAAGAAAGTCCCTGTAATGTTGGTGAGATGGACCCAGAAATGCTACCAGCCTCATTCTGGCTGAAGGTGGCCCCAGGTTGGGGCTCCTACACAAGATGACTTGTCCTCCTGGGACAGAAACTCCAGGAGCAGGTGGAGGGTGGCAGCTTGGCCTGGATCCTGCTGCTTGGAGATCCTAGGCTCCTCCCTGCAGACCCCAGTGCAACCAGGGCTGTGGGTGGAGTCGAAGGCAGGTCACTCTCTGGCCACAGGGTCCTGATCTACACAACTCTACACAATGGGAGTCTAATTCCCACGTCATGTGGTGTCCTCATTTTAGGGGGGAAAAAAGAAAACAAAACCTCCCTTCAGTACCGTGCCCAGAACACAGCAATGGGGCTTCCAGGCTCCCCCCTCCTGGGCCTGTCCCAGCTCCACATGCTGCGAGGCATGTCCCCCTAGGGGACTTGGCCATCAGCCTGTGTGAGAGGGCACTCTGAGAAGAAGCTTCTTCACCACGCACAGGAGGGAACATGGGATGATGTCAAGGCTTCATGTGGGGGCAGACTGGGGTTTGATCCTGGCTCTGCTGTTTACAGACTGGAGAGCTCTGGTCAAGCCTCATCCTCTCTCTGATCCTCAGTGTCCTCATCTATGAAATGGGCACAATACAGCTTCTACTTCCAAGAGGCGGTCAATTTTAAACACTAAGGTAGCTCACAGCAGCATTCTCAGTGTCAGCAGTGTTTGACCTTGGGTCTACTGGCGTCTGCTGAGGAAGGCCTTGGACTGCATCCCAGGGGCCCAGAAAAGCCTGGGAAGAGTGGTACCTGGAAAGTTGAACCTGTTGTCCCGCTGGCCAGGTGAGGGGTTGGGGGGCGTGGTCGCACTGGATGGGTTGGAAGACGTCAGGAAGGGTGCCGGCGAGGAGGGCGTGGAGGACGTGGTGGAAGATGGGTTGCTGCTGGAGTCCAGGTGGTTCATGGCTGGAGGGTGCTCCTGCAGGACCAGAGACGCCAGAGGTGTGCGGGGGCCCTGCTGCCTGTCCCCATGGCCCCCACTCGTCTCTCCCAGCTCTGAACGCAGAGCAGTCAGGCAGCGGAGCCTCACCATCCTGCCTTCCAGCTTCAACACGTTATGTGTTTACTACCTGAGGGGAGACTTGGGGGTGCCAACGATTAAGGCGCTTGGCTGCTAACTCGTAGGTCAGAAGTCTGGATCTACCTAGAAGTGCCTTGGAAGAAAGTCCTGGGGATCTACTTCCCAAAGAGCAAGGCCTTGAAAATTACACAATGCCCCTCAGACACACATTGGTTGCCATGAGTCAGAGCTGAGAACAAATACGTTTTTAGGCTTTTTCCACTAGTTGAGGGAAGGAAGGTGCACATAAAGGCCTCAACACTCATTCCCTGGAGGACTCCTGCTCACCTTCCCATCTCAGTTCAAATCCTCCTTCCTCCCAGATGCCGGGACCACGTGCCTCCTCTCTATCCTTCCACAGCTCCCGGTACTCCGCGCCAAGACCTTTACTTTAAGCACAGTCTGTAAACTGTGACAGCCTTGTCCTTGGGTGACTTTCTGACTCTCCTCTCCCAGCAAGCTGTCGTGCGAGGGCAGGGACCACGGGTGCTCCTCACTGCACCCCGTGCCTGGCTCCGAGCCGAGCACGTAACAGACATGGAGTGAATTAAATTCAGCTGCTGATTAATGTTCATTCATTGTCTGCCAGGTGCCAGACACCCAGCTGGACACGGAGATATGAGACCAGGTGATGGTCCTCGTCTCTGTCAACCTTGTCCCCAACCCCCTCCCCCCCAACAGTGGGGGTGTGAAGAGCCCACTGTGAGAGGCAAAGCCCCGAGACAGCCAATGGCGTGGGCTGGTGCTGGCGTCACTGTGGACAAGTTAGATCCTATCATCTTTCCACTCTGCTGCCCCATCGCTGGTGGGAAGATACTATCAGAGGGAAAATGTGACGGAGGCACAGAGGCAGGAGAGAAGGCATAAGGGCTCAGAGATGTGGCATCAGGTCTGCCACAGCCACTACCCTTAGTGTCAATAAGAGGTCAGCCTGGCCTGTCCCGGGGCAGTCCCTGAGCCTGCATCTCCCAGGTCACCTCTATCACCTGGCCACATGGCTGACCTGCCAGCTGCTCTATTCTCTCCCCTTGCACTTCCCCCAGGACCAGCTAGCGAGCAGCGGTCACATGTGGCCCATAGAGGGGGCACAAACTCGGCCACACCCAGGTTTGAGGCTGAGATGTCACACATTTCTAAGAACACGCTCACACCAGGCTTCAGAGAAGCCAGCCATCTGGGGAGGGGTGTCACCTCCAGTAATGTGGGTGCCAGGATGGAAGCCCAAGAGCCTAGTGGATCCTGTACACACTGACCTGGATCTACAGACCCTCCTGGAGCCCAGGGACCTCCATGAACCTATTTAGCTGAAGGGGACATCTATCTGTGACCAACGGAGGTGACCAACCCCAGGCTAAAGAAATGCACATTCATGGAGGACTCTGGGGAATATTCTTGTAATGCTTGGTCAGTGGAGGTCACAGAGACAGTTTAGTTGAATATTTTAAGGTGTACTTGCCACAGCGTGGCCAAGACCAGGATCAGGAGCTGGTCATCCTGGGCCTGCCCAACGCTCTCAAGTTGCCTTGTGGTAAGGTTTGTATAAAGCGAAGTTAAAGTCTGGGTGTTAACTCTTAGGATCACCATGAGGGTCAGGCGGAGCAACACATGAATGGAAGGCTCTGGCACATTCCAAGTGCTCAGAAAATGTTAGCTCAGAGGAGGCAGAAGGGCTGGGGAAGAGTCAGGGCCAGATGACTACAACGTGAATATGAACGCGTAGTCTTCTAAAGTGCTAAAGATGTGATCTCTGGAGTCACCACCTCTGGAGAATGCCAGATCCTCCCTCAGAAGAGAGTCCAGTGGGATTCTCCCAGCAGAGCTTTGGGGTGTGGCCCAGCCTACCTTCTTTGTTAGTGCTTTGGGAAGGGTTCCGAAATAGGGATGGGATTCGGCTGCTCTGTCCACAGGGTTGTTGATGTCTGAAGGGACTGATTCTGTCCTCCGGAGTCTAGGCACTGTTTAAAAATCAGAGGGAAAGCATTAGCTTGGGAGTGGGGAGCAGGCTAAGGAAAGAGTTACCCCAAATTCAAAGGGCAGAGGAGGGGACAGGAAGAAAACTCACATGGGAGGAAGGATATCCGACAGGCGGGGGCTTCTTTTGTGCACTTGTTGTGACACTTCAACCTGGCAAAGGGGACAAGGTTAGTACCTGCAGGGCTGCCAGGCACGGGCAGGCTGCAGTGTGGCCGGGTCAGCTCCACTTAACGTCCACCCACAATTCCCCAATCACGCCAGCTTGAAAGTGTACAACGAGACCCAAATAACAAACCTACTGCCTTTGAGTAAATTCTTAGCTGCAATAATGCTTCGCAGGGTTTCTAAGACTGTAAATATTTTAAAAAAAAATTTATTGTGATTTTAGGGAAAGTTTACAGAAAGGTTGGTTTTTCCATTGATGTACATTTTCCTCCTCTCTTCCTTTAATTGCTCTGGTGGCCTAGTGGCAAGAAGCTGTGCTGCAATCCCAATGGCACTTGTTTCGAGGCCACTAGCTGCTCTACAGAAGGATGGACAATCTCCTCCCATGCGATTAACTGCTTCTGAAATCCCACCAGAGGGGCAGCTATGGGTCGGTTCTGACTCTACAGTACACAACAACAACAATGCATGTCTTGATCCAGATTGTTAATTCTCACACGTATAATGCCTAAGCATCCATTCCTTTTGGACAGGTCTTTCTTTCACTCATTCGAGTGCAGTGTTCACTATCTATCCACTCTTTTCCTCTCTCGTGTCAATCTTATTTTTGTAACTGCAGTCTTATGTAGTATTTGTCCTTTTGTGAATGAGATATTTCACTCAGCCTAATGTCTTCAGACTCATCCATGTTGTATAGTGTTTTTCAGGTTCACTGTTTTTCAATGCTGCGTAATATTCCACTTTGTGAATGTACCACGGTTTTCCTGTCTATTTGATGTGCACTAAGGCTACTTCCATTTCTTCTTTATTGCATCTGTAATGATGCAATAAATATAGGTGTGCACACTCAGGTTTGTATCATAGCTCTGGTTTCTTTTGGGAATATTTTGAATAGTGGGATAGCTGGCTCAAGTAGTATGTCTATGTCCAACATTATGACTGAATTAGCAAAGGAGCCAAGGGATTCTTTGAGGAGGTAGCCCCTTCTACTAAACTCAAGCTTGGGGCTACAGGGTTACAAGGATCAATGCTAAAGAAGGAATGATAGATCTGCATTCTTATTTTGGTTCTGATTGTTGTGCTCACTCTCAGTGTTCAAAACCATAAAATGGGCTGGCAAGAGGTACCCATCAGCCTTATTCTACACAGTATGACAGCATGAGGCTTAGAGGTCACTGTGGGCTCTCTCCATGAAAGATGTTACTTTAAAGAGAGCTGGTGGTTTTCATTTTAAAGAGAAATGAACAGATGTCACAGCAGTCTTAGACCAGAGAGAGTGGCAGCCTCTCCTTGCTGGTCCACAGAGTAATCAGCTAACAAAACTGATCCAACCAACACGCACATTTTATGAAGACAAGACCCCCTCCACTGAAGGTTTCATCAGAGCCTAAATGCTTTCACACCTATGAGCTCAGCTTCTTGGAGGGATCCCAATGAGCAAAAAAGGTCTGGAATTATCTCTCCAGGCTTATAAATTACAGCAATGAGGCCCAGGAAGGCAGGTCCCTTTCCCCAGGTCACACAGTGGTACAAGACAAGGAGCCTGGGAGCAGTGACTCCAGGCTCACCTGGAAAAAGTTTTTCCAGTTTCGGCTCACTTTCATATTATTCCCTCTCCGTATCCTTTTCTCCTTGAGAACCTCAAGGGTATGAGAAAAGGACGTAGAATTTGTATAGCATCTATATTCTCTCCTTCTTTAAATACCATGAACCATGTTTCTGTTTTCACTGCTGTGTATTCCTGGTTCTCAACCCCTATGGCCCAAAATGCAAAGGCAGATTTAGAACAAAGTTCCCAGACCAGTCCTCACATTGCTCCCTGCCTTTACCCAGGATGTTCCTTTGGATAAGAATTCTCTTGCTCCTTTGATCCACCTAGACAACTTCTATTCATTCTTCAAAGCCCATCTCCAATAGCTCCTTCTTATATGAGTGGCTTCCTTAACTTCCTGAGAGAATGCTACATAAGATGGTGAACAATCCATTTAAGGGAACTCCTGTAAACTGATGACTTCTAAGAATAAAATAATTGGACTGACTAAAAAGATTCATGGGGTATCCCCATCCCAGTCTCCCCCTTTCCACCCTCAACATATCACCTGCAGTGCTTGCATTTCACGCCAAACATCATGCTCTTCTGGCACACGTGGCAGACCTGGGACAGCCAGGATTTGGTGGAGAACCTGTAAGGAGTCGACACAGAGTTACACCAGTTGAGAGGCCGGGCCTGACTACAGCAGGATCACCACACAACCCAGGTAAAACCAGGAGACTTCATCTTGCCCCCAAGCTCAGGGACCCTCTTCTCTAGAGGGAAGGGACACTCAGGGGCCACTGAGTACCTCTGCCTACCTGACCCAGAAACTCTAGTCCAAGGAATGTATCCAAACATAGACAGAGCTACTCCCAGTGATATGTTTGTAACAGTAAAGAACTAGAGAAAACCTACATGCCCACCAATAGGTGACCGGCCAAATAAAGTACGGGCTATCCACACAACAGAACACTCTGCAGCCAGAAAGTGAAACATTAACATTGGCAAATACATTAAATTAAAAACATTAAACATTGGGCAAATACAGAATGGTCTCCAATTACATTGTCAAGCTATAAAGTAAAGTATGATAATATATGGCTGAATTTACACCAAAGTCAAGTACGTTCAAGGAACACTGACCCAGGGTGACAGAAGTTGAATTACTGACCCTCCCTGAAAGGTGATACTATTGTTTGGAAAGGGTGTATCTAACTTGCTGAGGTGCTGGGATGTTCTCTATCTTCATTAAAATATTGTGCATTAATGTACATATTTTTTTAAAAAAAATCAACATCCCCAAATTACTGCTATCAAGTTGATTTCAACTCATAGGGACCCTACAGGATGGTAGAATTACCCCATCGAGTTTCCAAGTGTGTGGTCTTTGCAAAAGCAGACTCTAACGTTTTTTTCCCCACATAGCATGATGGATTCACACTAACGATCTTTTTGTTGGCAGCTGAGTGCTTAATCACTGTGTCACCAGGGCTCCCACATGAGAGTTATGTAAAAATTGACTGTGCACTTTATGTAAATCTTGCCACAATTTCTTAAAAAGTAGAAAAATAAAAAAGAACAGTGTGTGTAATATAGGTAATATTCAGTTTTTAAAAAAGAGGAGAAAAAAATATACATCTATATTCACTTGTTGGAAGGAGTGGCATCCACTTCTGTAACAGCTTGCCTCCGGAAACCCTATGAACCTTTACAGAGGATGAAAGGCGCCCAAGCGTCAAGGACTCTCCTTCATAGAGTCGCTATGAGTCGCCTGCAACTCGACGGCACTAAACAACAACAACATATTCGCTTGTATGAAATATCTCCGGGAAGGAAACCTGGGCATTGCTACCATGGGGACCCCAGAACTGACAGGGGACAAGAGATGAGTACCCCTACACATACCCTCAAAAGTCTCTTGAATTTTGAATGTATGACTGAATTTTCAAATTACTTAAAACAACAATTTTTAAAACAGAACACAGATCAGAAGGATGGAGGCGGAAGGAAAAAATTCTCAAGGCCAGTCCTTAAGGTGGATACGCTTACGGGCAGAAGTTAATTGTTTTTGAAAGACACTTTTAAGAGCACAATATAGATGCTCTGGTGGTTTAGTGATTTACAGCCTCTGAAAACCCACTGGAACATCAACTCGATGGCACATAAAATGAAGATGTGTCTATTAATTTTTGGGGAGCAGTTTGCAATAGATCCACTCCTGTCAGCTCTCTTGCCTCTTACATTCCATTCTCTTTGAATGAGACAGGTCCAAGGTTTCAGCAACAGAGGAGGAAACCAGTCATACGTGTGACGTGGTTTTCTCAAGATCTTACAGTCAGGATGCTCTGGTGGGGGTTAAAACCTGGAGTGGCCAAGCATCTCTAAGACAAGCCAGTGGGGCAGCGGAGGTCAAAGGCCGTAGTGCAGGCAGTGAGCATGGTGTGAGTGTCACACAGAGCTGGGTTTGAACTCTGCCTATGAGCTTCTGCGAATGGGCCTACCCTCTCCATCTCACAGGGGTTTGATAGGGAGTGAGTGTGTGTTATATAAACATATATGTCCTGTCTTCAGAACCAACAGGTGGTGGAAGGACGAAGGGTGCCCAACTTCTGGAAGTGCAAAGAGCTGGCTGCAATCAAGAGGGTAGATCCTATCTCCGTGGGACCCCAGTGTGCGCTTTCTCACTTACCACCTTGCCTTTCCTATGGACATTTGGGGAGGGAGGAAGGGGCAATTCAGTGGTAATGGAGATAATCCTGGATACAGGTCCATATGGGCAGGTGGGAGTGGGGAGACTGGGGTCAGAAAACTGTCCTGGATTGCAGAAAGGGTTGCAGCACTTTACTCTCCCTGGGGAACACACCAAGCACCTTTAGACCTTTGGTTGACAAGGTGCCTAGGCCATGGGTTTCTGAATCCATGAAGGTGTGGGCAGGACCTCACCCACCCAAGCCCAGAACCTGGGTGGAGCAGCCCTGGGAATGACAAGTGGAGGAGAGGCACGATCCAGGAAGCAGTCTGGCCCAGTCTCAAATCCTCTGTGAAGGCACGTGTCAGCCCAGATGATGTCGGCCTCTCCCAGCTGGAGCCAGAGAGCCTGGCTTCACCCCCACCAGTGTACAGACAGAATGGAATCCTGCCTGAGGCTGTGCTGTGCTCACCCCAGTCAGTGTGTCAATCCATCTGTTCGAGGGTTCTCTTTCAGACCTTCTACTTTTCCAAGCATGATGTCTTCTCTGTCCTGACAACACGCCCGAAGGAGAGGAGACAAAAACTCCTCATTCCTGACTCCTGGGAAGGAGGTATTACTAATCCCACTTGTGAGAGAGAAACTCACAAGAGATTCTGAGAGGTTGCCTGCCTTGTGCATCTCCTGGGAAAGGTGAGGTTTCTCACCAGAAGCCCACACTCAAATGCACGGGGATGGCCTTCACTCAAAGGACTGTCCCATTCGAGCTGCGTCATGGTGCCCTGGACACCTCCTTCCTGAGGCTCCAATGAGTGACCCGGGCCCCTGCCAACTTGGCTTCAGCACTGCTCCCTGGCAGCATGACCTTGGGTGAGTCACTCAACCTCTCCAAGCTCTGGCTTCCTTTGAGGAGAGAATTCCAGGTGGGCCTCTGCTCACAGCCCCTGGTGGAAGGGAAAGCCCAGCTGCAAAGCGCCTGACAGGGGTTCTCACTGCAGTGACAATGTTCAAAAGGACAGTCTGAGCATGGGCTTCCCAAGGCACCATCCTGCCAGCATCCTGGGGTGACAAGACACCACGCAGAACCTGCTGTTCACAGCACACACCCGCCTCCCAAGTGGTGAGCCCAAGACCTCTGGACTGTCCACCTCACGGACCCTAGTCAGCCCTCTCCATGTACGTTTGAGCACTCGAATCACCAGAATTTGTTAAAAATCCAGGCTGCTATGTTGGGAACCAGGGAACAAGATGCTCTAGGCGGAGGCCTGGCAACCTGGAGTTTCCTCATGACTCTGACTCTGTTTATCCAAGGACCTGTATCTTGGGAGGTTAAGAAGAGGCCTGGGGAGGGAGAGGCAGGTCCCTGAGGGTCCACATGGCTGCGGGTGACAAAGCAAGGGCTTGAAGTAGGTACAGAGCGGTGTTCACAGAGACAGTGAGTCAGTGAGACAGTGAGAATGAGGAAGAGGCACCAGGACTCCACACCACAATGAACCCCTCAGGAGGCTCCAACCCCCAGCCCAGCTCCCATAGCCCTTCTTGCCAGACCTACCTGTGCGTCACAGAGAGCCCGATGTCCCTTCGTACCATCTGTGGGGATCCTTGTGGGAGATCTGGAGAGAAAAAGCCCAGGAGGGTGGGTGAGGGTGCCATGTCCTGGACAGCTATGCCCATGGCCTTCTCTGTCAGGGATCATAGGCTGGGCATAGTGTCTTGAGTGGACAGTAGAGAAATGCTCCCTTAAATCTACGTCTATCAAAATAAGAGATGGCCAAGCCAGCCCAAGGGGTTGTTGATGTGACCTCTCTCAGGCGTGGTGGTTTCTCCAGTGAAGGTGGCGGCCTGGGCTCCATAGACGGCTTAGGCTGCCATTCCACACGGAGGAAACTCTACACATTCAGGGCAATGTTGGGGGTGGAAGTCTGCACAGCTCTAATCGCTTGTGGTTATACTCATGGGTCACCACTTGACAAGGGCTTAATTGCAGTCACTTCTTGTCAAGTGGGTGGATGCCGTCTGACCTTTGGTGAGAATGATGGGTTAGCCACAGAGCCCACTGGTGCCTTTCTGGCTAGAAGGGCCTGGCGAACAATTCTCCAGGAGCCATCAGTGCCAGATCACAACAGGCAGGAAGAGTAAGGACGAGGCAAAGCTTCTGTACTTGCCCAGCCCACTTGGCACCAGGCTAAACTGTGGGACCTTGGATACCTTGACTCTCTGCTGAGATAAAGGCTGTGAGACACCCCTCTACTTGCCTCTAGGGGCACCCTGGGCTTCCCCTAAAGGGCACCCAATGTTGGGTAGTGGGAGAGGAGCAAGCAGCAATCTCTCCATCCACACTGGTCATGTGTCCAGACCCCCCCCCCACACACACACACACACACGTCCTTGGTACTGTCTGTCTCTGCCCAGAGCAGTTCTCAGCTGAGCCTGCAGATGGGTCCATGAATTCTCTGGCCTGGTTAGCAGAACACTATAGGCTTCTCTCTAGAAAGTGGGCCTACACTTCACTTTTATTCAATTATCAAAGGAACTCATGACTCAGAAAGGCTAGAACACAGGAGTGGAGTGGCTTGTGGCTGCCCGGTGCTCTCTGAGTCAGCAGGCCCCCGAGGTGGCCACCATGCTCCCTGGGCCCGGAGGGCTGACCCGGTACACAGCTGGGGCCCATTAAACGCTGGCTTACTTAATGGACAAGCACCACATGCCCAACCACAAAGAGAAGGAGGTGTGAGGCGAGCTGATTCCTCTCAGAGCAGGGAGCCCTGTGCACTCCTGACCCGGAATCCTCTGCTTGCAGCTCGGCTGGGCACAGCTGTTGTAGGCCTGGTTTAACTTACACCCAGGGTCCACTCCACGGAGACAAAGAATCAAAACAAGGCCTCTCACACCTGGAGGTCTAAAAGTGGTTAGGCTGCTGGCCTGGCAGAAACAAGACTATGGGGAAACTGGACAGCACCCATCCATTTCTGAAAGCATGTGGTAGTTGATTAGTAATGTCTGCCACAGACATGGGAGGTGAGCAATATGCCAGACAGCACCCGGCTCCAGTCTGTCCCCTATTTCTGAATGTAAATATAGCTCTGAGGTCTTATCTTTCCTTTCCAGGCAGGTAGCAGTCTTGTGGCTATGGTTTCTCTATCACTACCACAACTAGCAAGATGAGAGGACCAGAGCTCTCCCATCTTTGGGCTGGAGCTGCAAAATTCTCCCTCAAGACCCTGGGATTTTCTGCCTGTGCCCTAGAGACAGGCCTGCAGCTCTCTCCTCCTTCCCCGCCATGCCTCCTTGAGCATTCCTGCAGGCAACTCCACTTCAGCAGTCACTGCTACTATACTCCATCCTCATCCCTAAGACCCTCTTTCCAGAGCCAGCTCTGGATAGAACAAAAATAAACTATCTGCTCAGGCTAAAACATGATGTCGTTGCATTTTTGCTCAGAGAGTTAAAAGCAGAATTGAGAAGTATGGCTGTTTTTTACTGTTCTGATTAATGGAAGAGAGCCCTACATACAGCTGTACATGAGAACGTACCCTCGCAAGGGGATGGGAACAGGGGTGGGGAAGGGGGCAAAGGTTGCTTCAAAGAAGGCATCAGTATCCTCCCATTCCTGGGATGGTGTCCCCTCAGGCCTCATGTAGAGCCAGTGGCATTCCTGCTCTCTCCAGAGGGTCCTGAGAATGCAGAATCCACCTGGACCACAGAGATGGTGACACTTCAAGCAGGTGAACGCTCCCTGTCACAGAGGTCACCCATGGGGAGGGCAGGCCACACGGAGGCTTGTCACAGGTGAGGACTGCACTGCTGTCTGGGCTGCAGTCAGCCTCGCTCTAAGGCCACCTGTCTTAAAGCTAGCTCCAGTGGTGTTTGCCAGCATCTGTGCTTCTGAGCTCTTGCAAGGCCGAGTGGACTAAGGATGTCAAAGCAATTCACCCCCGATGGGGACAGCAACACAACCATGACTCCCAGGTATCAGAAGGGATGGAAATGAATCACTCTTACCAAACCTGAGGAGACAAAAAAGGAGAGAGAGGGATCACAGGTTAAGGGGCTGGCTCGGCATGTTCCTTAGAAGAGTAGCTCAGGAGGGAGCAGGTGGGGTGCTAGGATGGGAGACTGTGTGGCCAGGCTGGGTGCCAGGCTTGCTGAGGAAAGTGGAAAAATCCTGTAACCTCTGTGGCCACCAGCTTCCTCAGTGGCCTGCCCTGCACCCTCCCAGCGGGCACAGGAACTATATTCTGCTCAGAATATATTAGCTCACTTCAACCTCACTAACCTAAGCACACAGCACAGTAATTAGAATTCTACCCATTTCACAGCTGAAGGAACTGAGGCTCACAAAAGTCAAAGGAGTCTCCCACATTCATGAGGACAGGGAGGAGTGAAACCTTGGTCATGGCCCTGGGGAAGACATATGCCCAGCGTCCAAGTAGAACAGACGGTCTGTCTGCAGGAGAGCCTGTGTCTGTGGTGGTGGTGGGACCAGCTGTGGGTGACAGCAAGGTGGCCTCCAGGAAGGGCCAGGCAGGGACATGCTCTGAGCAATGTCTTCCTCAAGCATGCTGTTGCCCCAGTGACAAAGGGTGCTAGAAGACCAGGACACCTCAGTCTGCCCCCAGGGCTCGTGGCGGGCGGCAATGTGGCCCCTGGGATGATGTCAGTGCTAGTACTGGTGACTCTGCAGGGATGCAGATCCTCAGGGTCCGAGGCAGATCTGTTCTCTGCCTGAAGCATGGGAAGGCGACCAGAGGCCTCCTGACATCCTTTGCAGGAGAAAATGAGAAACACACGCACTTGGGTTCTTCCCACTGTGATGACCTCGGTGACAGGGTCATCAGTGTTCTCTGTGAGAAGGGGAGGCTGAGTGCTGGGGGCAAAGGAAGGCCAGCAGTGCCTGTGGATGGCACCCAGGGTCTAGCAGGAGAGCTTGACCAGGCAGGGCAAAGGCAGGGAGCCCAGCATGGCTTTCTCCTCCTTGATGACAAACTCAACATTGTCAGGGAAACCCAGGGGACTGAAATGGCCGGTGCCAGCACAGGGGACATGTCCATCCAAGAAACTCTCAAGGAAAGAGGACCTACGTCAGGGGAGAAGTCAGGTGGCCCCAACCTCAGAGTACAAGAAAGTAAGAGGTAACCTTGTAAGAGTGTATCCTTGAGGGAGAATCTGTGCATTTACAAAAAAGAACATGAACTAAATGTCCATTATGTGGGCCTCATTAGACAAATGATACAAAGACCAATGGCGAGTGAAAACTAAAAGGAGTGAGCTTGTCTGAGTAATTAAGGCATAAAACAGATAACCTGGTTGCCTTCTGAAAGGAGAAGAGGAACACTGAAAAAATAAAGCAGTAAGGTTGAGGACCAGGTTTGTCCTGGATACCTCAATATTGAAGCACAGATGTGAGCCACAAACCTTTTGCATTTTATACCATGTGACTCTATCACCTGTTAACAACACATCATTCACCCACTCATTGCCATGGAGTTGGAAGCAACCCATAGCTGACCCTCCAATGGTTTAATGGAGGCTGTAAATTGCATAGAAGGAGACTATCTCTCGTGGGGACTGGTGGATTTGAACTGCCAGAGAGGTGCTGCCTTTGAGTTCGCAGCACAACTCCCTACAGACTGCATCCAGAGCCCACAGATGAAAAATCATTTCTTTAAAGCATAGAAAAGCAATATAATGTTCATGATGGACTAACAAATTCTCAGAAATATCAAGGCATTGAGAAAAGAAGTTACAGGACAGAGTTCACGCTACAGTAAAACCTGTTGACAGCCAGAACTGCACAAGGCAGAAAGCTGTCAAAAGAGGGAAAATAGAAATGCTTTCCGCTACCAAAGAGTGACAGAAAAGTGGTCACTACATGTAGGAGATGGGGAACTTGTGAGACTCAGAAAACAAGGGAAGCCCATCGAGCTCTGTCTGTCACAGATTCTTTTCTTTTGTTTGAGCCTCATTAGTGGTTTTAGCAGGCACACAGAACAACTGTCTTTTTTGGATTCTTTGGATAAAGGCATAAAAAGAGAGTAGAACTTCTGCGGGAACAGCATTTCACTGCCAGTCCAAAGCATCTAGAATTCTCTTTTCCTTCTACTGCCACCATGCAAGCAAGTGGGTGTGTCTTGAAGAGAGTGAAACCAAGTTTTCCCTTAGAGCCAAGGATTTTGAACCTCGATCTCACATACTTTGGGCATGTGGCCATGAAAGACCAGTCCTTGGAGAAGGACATCATGCTCAGACAGGTGGAGGGTCAGCGCAGGAGAGGACGATCCTGCATGACATGGATTGACACAGTAACTGGGGCAATGGAGGTAGGTGTGTTGGAGACAGCAAGACGGGCTCAGGATAGAGCAGGCCTCAGAGCTATTGTACACAGGGTCACTATGAGTCACAAGCAACTTGATGGCACACAACAACAACAACAGTGACTGTGATGCTTTCGACCTCAGCCTGGGACCTAGAATAAGGATGTCTCACAATGGACAGACAGCCTGAGCAACAAGTTAATCTTTGTTGTTTTAAGACACAGAGATTTGGAGTTGTTTGTTACTGCAGCATAATTCAGTCTGTCCTGACTGATACACCATTTATAATACAAAAACCTTTGTGTGTGTGTGTGTACATGTGTGAGAGTGTGTGTGAGAGAGAGAGAGAAAGAATGTGTGTGAGAAAGAGAGGAAGAGTCTGAGTGCAAAGCAAAGGGAATCCAGTAGTATTCAGTCCAATCTGGAAAGTGGACTAAAATGAGGCACCATCTTCCACGTTTTGTTTTGGACACTTCTTGATTTAACATTCCCTTTTTAAACCAAGCCTGTATTACTGTTGGCCTAGTGCTAAGAAGGCTGAGCTGCAATCCTGTAGTCATGTGGTTCAAATCCACCAGCTGCACTGCAGGAGAAAGATGGGCAAGCTCCTCCTGTGTGGTTTACTGCCTCTGAAATCCCAATGGATGGTCAGTGATGAGTCAGTTCTGACTTGATGTTACTCAACTACTACTATATTCTGTTACTGTCACAGTTAGAAAACTGTAACAAAACTGCAATCGAGACTTTTGGCAGGGAAAAATAAAGGACTTTTGGCAGTCTGCTAATTTAGCAGCTGCCCGCCAGGGGCACTCACCTCATTGGGGTCACTTCATCGATGCGGTTGCCCAGTTGGGACTCATGGGACTTGCTCCGGGTGAGTGTGGGGAAACTGGGCAGCAGCTGGAAGACTTTGCGGCTGGGCGGAGGCGGCGTCCGAGGCGGCTTCAGCTTGGTGTGGCGGCGCATTTGTGGCGTGGTTGGGGGCGTGATGAAGCTGTGCAGGGTGCGGGGGGTCAGCCGGCCGCTGGGGTGCATGGGGAGACAGGTGTCTGAGAGGCCCTCGCAGGGGCTGGGGGTTGAGGAGTCTGAGGTGGGCAGAGCTGACACGGAGATGGAGCGTGGGCCCTGGGCACTGGTGCCCACCCTGCCCAGCTGGGAGCTGCCCAGGGGCCACTGCAAGTTGGCCGTTGAGAGTGTATCCACAGAAGTCCCTGAGCTACTTTCCCGCCGGGCATCCAAAGGACTCCAGCCTGAATCTTCTTTGTGCTCCCCACCTGCGGGACAAGAAGGTGAGTCACAGCTGGTCAGAGCTACAAGAGATGGATGGATCCCCACAGGTTAAGCATCTTGTCCAAGGCTGCAGAGTTCCTTAGTGGGAGGGATGCTATCTGACTTATATTGGGCTCTCTTAGATTATCTAGCTGATTCTGAGTCCACCAAGGCAGATACTACCATCCCATTTTACAGAGGGGGACAGTGACGCCTTGAAAAGGAATGGATCAAATGGCACACTTACTGGTAGGTCTAGGGGGACTTAGCAGGGAACCCCTGCCCTCAAAAGAGGGTCACTGCAGAAAGGAAGTGATGACTGACTACAGAGTTAGGAAAGTGGGGCTGGTGTGTGTGAAGGGCTCCACTTTGAGAAAATGGGGTGGCATCCACCTAAGATAAACCTGCATTGGGTGTTGTGACATGAGATCCTGCTATAAATGGGCTGTTGTCACTTCCTTCTGAAGAGAAACTGAGAGTGACTGTCAGGTATTTAGACCCAAACCTTACAGCTCTCCCCACACTCTGTGACCTTCGTCCTTGTGGCCCAGTGTCATCTGGACCTCTAGCTCAATGGCACAGTCTGATCATTCATCCAAGTATTTGTTGGAAGTTGGATATAAAGGCATAAAAAGACATCCCCTGGCCTTGAGGGGTCTAATAGGGATGAGGGACATTCGACTCTGCATGCTGGAACAAAGAGAGAATGAGATCGATGGGTGCTGAGACACACAAAGAGAGGAGGAGGGGTGAAGGTGAAAGGTCAAAGAAGGAGGAGGTATCTAAACTGAGTCTTGTGAGAAACACAGGAATTTGTAGGAAAGGAAGTAGAAAAGGTGGACCAGGTGGCGGTAACAGTACACAGAAAGCTAAGAGCTTGCTGGGCAGAGTTTAGTGACTAGAGTTCCGCAAGCTCTGAGAGGTCAGGATAAGCCAGGGAGAGGCAAGCGATGGGGGTGCAAGGGTCAGTCTAGCTGACAGCTCAGAAAGGACCTGGGATGTCTTGATAAGGCCTATATAACTGATCCTTTATGAAGATGTATCCTATAGGAGACACATCCTACATTGGATATATGGCAGGAAGAAAGGACTCCATCCTAAAAATGACCAAATGTGCTGTCATGCGGTAAAGGAAAAACTCCTCCTCTCATGGGTATCAGTGAGGGAAAATCCAGGAAGGGAGACTCACTCAAGCCAAAAAACCCTTGCACACTGAATTTCTTCGACTAGTGCTTTTTACATTGTCTCCCTCACTGTATAGGGGAGATCACAGAGAGCCAAGAGGCTGTGCCCACTTCTCAGGGAGCCTAAGTGGTAGACTTAAGTTCCTTTGTCTCAGCAGGGATAGCTCTACCTTCTTCCATCTCACTACCAATTTTGAATAATCTGCAGTGGGACAGCACTGTGAGGTAATGAGCTCACTGTTATCAGAAGTGGTCAAGTCTATGCCTCCAACGCCATGTACCAGGGATGGTGAAGAAGGATGAGCCCTCACTGTCTCTCTGAAGAGTCCGTACCTTCTTCAAACACTCTTCATCCTCCTTCACTGCAGAGTGACTTTCAGTTCATAAGTCAACTTGGCAGAATGAGTTACTCACTCTCTGAGTCCCCACATTATTTCTTGGAGCCACATCTTAGATTTTTATTTATATGCTGAGCTACAGATGATGACTGCCTTCGAGTTGAGCACGACTCATAGCGACCCTATGAACAAAAGGCCTGAAGCCCCTCTACAGCTATTGGCATTTATCAAAGTTCATAGAGTTTCCAGAGGCATGCTATTTAGGAAGTGGATGCCACTCCTGCTTCCAAACCTGTATGGTATGTTATGTGAAATTTAGTTGCCTGCGATGTCTAGTAACCCTATGTACAGTAGCTCTGAACTCTTCCCTGTCCTGAGCCAGTCTCAATCTTGCCCCCAAACCAGCCATTGAACACCCTATGGAACACAGTTCTACTGTAGCACATATGGGATTATGAGATTGCCATGAGTCAGCCAAAGGCAACTGGTTTATAGGAAACCTTGAATATATGTTTCCTGTTGAACTAATTAAAGAATGAGTTCCATGAACTATACATTCATTTGGATCAATCAAAATTTCCATGAGAAAGTCTGACACCAAAACAGAAGCTGTCACGATACAAACGGTCATCGACAGCCGGCTTCTCCACAAGTCTTTAAAAACCAGGCTTAAGGAGCCGGTAGGGAGGGCTGGCAAGGCCTTCTCCCCTCCCACAGATGGAAACAGCCCACTACCACCTGGGGGATGGATCCTGGCTCTGTTGCTGGCTTGACTGTGTGTCCATGGCCAAACCTGCTCCTCTTTGTGGACTCAGCCTTCCTTCTCTGTAAAATGGGATGAGGGTGCTGACCACACCTTGGTCATATGTCTTTCCTGGTACCTGACAGGAAGCCTGACACGTTAAGGTCTTCTGAGTGAGGTACATGCTACACAGTGAGCTGGGTTAGAGGAAGTCTGGCTATAAGGAGACTAAGGAAAAAATTAAGTTCAATCGTCCCTGGGAAAGAAAGGGAGAAAAAAAAATCAAGCTGAATATAAACCTCAGTGCTTTCCTTAAGCCTCAGGCAGGCAGAGATAAGACAGGTGGTTCAGATAATTAAAAACCAGGGCTAATTCTATTCATTAGGCTCATTTTAATGCCTGATCTGGGTGGTAGTGAGAGCATTAAGACAGGCATTTGAAGTTGTTTCCAAGGTAAGATTTAGAGAGCCTGCAAATAGTTCCCAAGGAACTCCACATAATGCTAGGATTACACACGCGGCTGGGGGCAGCCATGTACACACTCCAGCGAAAAAGCAGCACAATTTCTTTAATCAGGTTTGGCTCAGGCGAAACTCAAATCAGCGTGTGCCTTCTGAGCCAGGGGTGGGAAGGCAGAGAGGGGGTCCAGGGAGAAGGTTCGGGTGGGTGGAGGGGCTGGGGGTTTGGGAAGGTGAAGGAGGTTTTGCAGAAATACATGTGGTCAACAGAGGGTCCACCTGGCAGACTAGCCTGGAATTTGTAGCCTCAGTGACTGTATGTTTCCCTGGATTTGTATGGTCCAAGCCACTTGGAACGCAAGCACTGAAGCCCCTCTTGTGGCTCCATATTCTTTGTAAACACCCGCTCTGAACTTTCCAAGCTGTCCTGGGAACCCCAAGCCACACCCACCCCACTCTACTGTCCCCTTCCCAGCAGACACTCCAGCTTCCAGAGAACCCGGAGAAAGGGAAAGGGAACCACAGGCGCTGGCCTCAGTGCAACCTACCCAAGCCTGTCACCTTCCGCAGGCAGGTGAGGGCGTACTGCAGGCGACTGCTTTCCTCGGGGCTGGCTCCACAGCGCCTCAGCGTCTCCTTGACCTTGGCCTCATTCATTTCCAGTAGGGCATCCAACGTGAGCTCCCCGGGGATCTCCTGAGGAGGGACAGAACGGAGATGCAGAGAAATGGGTGAGCAGTCAGGCCAGCCTGCCCTCGTCATCCCACCTCCCCGCTGAGTGGCAGGGGTCAGCTGCTGGCTGGGCCGGCCTCCCACCAGGGGCCACCACTTGTGTGAGGACAGACAGTGGGCTCTGGCCACACCCTCTCCCTCCCTGCACAGCAGCTGAAGCTGAGATGCCTGACTTCAGGGCTGGGGGCAGGGCAGGGGGAAAACAGGAGGTCTGGGGGCATGATGGCCCCTCGAGCTGTGCTCAGACAACTCCCAAACCATAACATTTTAAGAAAGAGCAGGGCTTTTGATAACGGTATCCCTTGACAATTCTGCTGTATCAGAATCAGACAACATAGATTTCAAGTAAAACTAGTCTACCAAGAGAAGGATTTAAAAAAAAAATAATAATTTAAACCTCATCAAGCAGTGTGTAGGCACTTATTTGTATTCTTAGTTAAAATGTGTTATTCTGCCCCCTTGATGACTAAGAAGGCAGGTTAGTTACCTGTACACGTTCACTCAGCTTGTAGGAGGAAAAGTATGGTAGGCAGAATGTTTAGATGGTCTCGTGACCCCAAAGTGTTACTCTTTTGATTGTTACATTAAATGACAAAAGTCAAGTTTTCTGGGTAGGCCTAACCTAATCACAGAACTCTTTAAAACAGACCCATTTTCTCCAGATACAGTGAAAAATTCACTGCTGTGGAATCGGAACTGACTCACGGCTGCCCATTAAGGGGGTTTTTAGAGGCTGTAGATTGCACAGGAAGAGATTACCATCTCTCTCCCTCGGAGTTAGTGGTGGATTCGAACCACCTGCTTTTGGGTTAGCAGTACAACTCCTCACCCACCACGCGACCAGAGCTCCTCGCTGGATGCACGTGGAGAAGTCAGATTGAAGTGTGCACTCTTGCTGACTTTCAAAGTGCAAGGGGCCACATGAAAAGGAACAGGGGTGGTCTCAGCAGAGTATGTGACCCCTGGTTCAGAAATAGCAAGGAAACAGGATCCAAAACAAAGGAATGGATTCCTGTCAACAGCCTGAATGAACCTGCAGGGAGGTAAGCATCCTGGTCAGTATTTTACTGCTCTCTTGTGAGCCGCTAAATGGTGAAGTTGGCCTGGTCGCCTAATCCTGGGGACTTAACAAGTGGGTTTTATTTTAAGCTTCCAAGTTTGCGGCAATTTGTTGTGCAGTCGTAGGAAGCTGTTGCACAGAGTGACTATTCAGATCAAGGCCTAACTGGTCTCAAAGCTGGTGTTCTTTCTTCTCAATAAGAAGGAAGGGAGCCCCTCTAACTGTGACGACGAGGTGTGTGACCAAGAGGACCAAGCACCCCAGGACAGGCCGCTGGCCCAAACTGGCCTGCAGTCCACTGGCTGTTTAGAACTGACATTTCAATGAGTTTTCAGAGGCTGTACATTGCACCGGAAGAGACTGTTGATCTTCCAGCAAAGCAGTTGGTGGATTCGAATGGCCTTCCAGTTGGCAATCCAATTCCCTACCTACCACACCACCTGCAGAGCCTGCATTTCTCTGCAGTCCAGAGGAGGTGGCTGATATGAAAACGTGCAATTACAGTGCTGCGAGGCAGGGGCTAGAAGGTTAGCAGAAGCTCAAAGAGCTATGAGACCAGTGGTGAGAACAGGAATTCCACCCCCCCGTCTCTTTTCTGTATTTTGCAGATTTTCTATAACAAAGGAGGCCAGACATCCCACATCAAAATGATTCATACAAAACTCACAGTTCTTGAGAATCTAAGTTGATTTTCAATGGTTTTATAAAGTTGTGCCTAATTTCCTTTAAAGAGAGTAATTTCATTGTCAGTCAATTCAGGCTACTGTAAATCATTGCTAAATCAAGTGTCAGAGCTGAAAGTGATGAAGAAATTGGCTATGGATGCTTAAGGGCTGTGAGGAGATGGCTCAGAAGCCACAGTTCAGGCCTGGCCCAGGGCGCCCCTGCCAACTATTGTCCGTCTTTATGTACCACCGAGTTGACTATGACTCATAGTGATCCTATGAACAATGGCTCTGAACCCTGACCTATCCTGCGCTAATCTTACCATCTCTGACACATTTGACCCCTTTGCCACAATCATTGTGTCAAACCATCTCAATCCAAGGTCTTCCCTTGTTCTGACCTGTCGGCCTTCCAAGCATAATGTCCTTCTCCAAGGACTGGTCCATCCTAGTATCACTCAGCCTTCCAAGCAGGATGTCCTTCTCCAAGGATTGCTCCATCCTAGTAACATGCCCAAAGTATGTGAGATGGAGCTTCAAAATCCTTGCCTCCAAAAGAGCAACCTTGTTTCACTCTCTTCAGGGCAGACCTGCTGATTCTTTTAGCAGTCCATGGTATGTTCAATACCCTTCTCCAACTTCACAACTCAAAAGGCATAAATTCTTCTGTCATCCTCATTCATCTTCTAGCTCGCAAATGCATACATAGCAAGCAATTGAGAAGACCATGGCTTGGATCAGGTGCACCTCAGTCTCTAGACTGACATTGTTGCTCTTTAGCACTCTAGAGAGGTCTCTGACAGCAGATTTTCCCAGTGTACCCTATCTTTTTATTTCCTGACTGCTGATGTCAAGGGTGTTGATTGTGAATTCAAGAAAGATGAAATCATTCTGGAAAAGCCCATTTGGGTGGTTTTGTGCCACTCACTCTCCAGGGCTGCAGGCAAGAATTTCATCACTGTTTAGAATGGCTCAAACCAAAAGCAAGAAAGATGCAGATGCGTAGAAGCACCAAGCAGCTCATCACTGGCTGAACCAACCCCTGGTTGTCAGATAGCCTTCTTGTCAGATGATAAGACTGAAGCATCACAGGAAACCACTGATAAGATCAGCACAGAGAAGGGAGGCCATTAAGAGAGTGTCCCAGGGGCAGAAGCATTTTAGTCAAGAGATGCATCTTCCTTTAATTCCCCTGCCCGCAATTCTTGCTTGTGGAAATAAAGTTTTGACATCCTTTCCCACTTGTTTACTATGAAAAGAAATGTGGCTATGTTAGTAAGAGAAGCACAAGCAAGGGTGACGCTGATCTGGGTACAAGAGGACTGAACAATCCATCCCCCTCCCCCTTCTGCAGTGTCCTCAATGTGTTCTCTCTCTCTCTTTCTCTCTCTCTCTCTCTCTCTCTGTCTCTCTCTCTCTCTTTCCTCAGGCTATGATGAGTCAGTAGTTTCTGGAATGATTCCTGTACCGTAAAGTCAGTCTCAGGGTTAAGAACATCAAACTTACAGACAACTCATGCTGCAGAATGGACTGCCATGAAGCCTATGGCATTTTAGAAGTTGTGGTTAAGTAAAGGGCTCATTGTAATGCATGCAGGCACTGCTTTGTGTCGCCTCACGAAAATAGCGCTCAGCCTAAGAGGTCTGTCAGACAGAGGGCAACTCCATCTGCCTTCTCAAGAAGCCATTAATACTGGCTTTGTAATACTTTGTATTGGCATAAACGTTCCACTTGTTAAAATCCTTACTAAGCAAGGCAATGGTTTCACTGCTGAAATGGGAAGGCTATTGATAATTTGGTTTGATAATAAAAATCAGGGTAATACACTTATTATTCAACTCTCCCTACTGAGCTGGAACAAACTCACAGCTGATCCTCCAGCAGGTTGTTGAGAGGCTGCCCCTTACATGGGAAGAGACTGCCCCCCATGTGGGAAGAGACTGCCCATCTTTCTCCTGAGAAGCCGCAGGAGGTACAGAACTGCTAGAGAGGGCAACTCTACACAGACTATGCCACGAGAGCGCCCTAAAATGTCTATTAGTCTTACTCTAGTTCAAGAAAAGACTCTAAGCCTTTTTAATGACTTAAAGTTAGATGTGCAGCAAGTGAGGTTTATTGTGATGAATCATTTATAATAAGAGTGAGCAATCTTACTAGTAGACCATGAATTATTAGAACCACTTTGGAAAACGATTTGTTAGTATCTAGTATACCCACAATTACCTTAGGTCTTAAGGGAACTCTAGCAGCCCAGTGATAAGAAGTTGTGCTGTACAGTACTGGTACAATGACAGGCACATAGACCAATGGAACAGAACTGAGAACCCAGGAATGGATCCAGCTATCTATGGTCAACTGATATTCTACAAGGAGATAAAACCTATCATATGGGGAAATGACCATCTCTTCAAAAACTGATGCTGACAAAACTGGACTGCTATCTGTAGAATCTGAAATAGGATTCACATCTCACACCATACACAAAAATCAATTCAAGGTGGATGAGAGATCTGGGAGTGAAGTCTAAAACCGTAAAGTTCATCAGAGACAAACTAGGATCAAGCTTAGACTGCCTAATCTATGGTATGAAGAGACTGCCAAATACAGCCAGAAATGCTCAATCTGGAGAGGATAAAATTGTTGAATGGGACCTTCTAAAGATTAAATCCTTGAGCACATCAAAACCAATTTCCAATAGAATCAAAAGAAAACCTACTGATGGGAAAAAAACACTTGGCAATACCATTTCAGACAAGAGTCTCCTATCAAAAGTTTACAGAATCCTACAGGACCTCCACAAGATAAAGACTGATCACACAATTACAAAATGGGTAAAAGACAAGGAAAGATTTTACACAGAGGATGATATTCAGATGGCCAACAAACACATGAAGAAATGCTCAAAATTACTGGCAATAAGAGAGATGCAAATAAAAACCATAATGAGATACCATCTCACTCCAGTTGTTGTTGTTGTTATGTGCTATCAAGTTGCTTGTGACTCATATCGACCCTATCTATGTACAAGAGCTCTAAACGCCATTCTATTTTGTGCCAACCTAGCCACCTCAAACATACTCATTCCCATCACTCCAGTCACAGAATTGATCCATCTCATCAAAGGTCTTCCTCTCCTTCGCCGCCCCTCCACTCTGCCAAACATGATGTCCCTCTCCAAGGACCATTCCCTCCTTGCAACATGCCCAAAGTATGTAAGATGAAGCTTCAGAATCCTTGAC